AAAGACACGTGTCAGATAATTTGGTGTGTAGTGAGTATACACAATAATTTATAGTGGTGAGCAAAAATTCTTTTTTTTTATATATAACTCGCATCTTGCTACATGCATACGGATGCGACAATTGAATTTTTATTTTATCATTTATTTTTTTAGTTTGAAAGAAGAAAGAAAAAAAAAACAATAAAATCTATATTTTAAAAAATAATAAACTTACTAAACACCCACAATCCCACTCCTTATCATGTAATGGGGTTGTCCATAAATTAGCCAAGTTTGCCGTTTCTATTAGCAATGAAATTGTATGAATAGAGAACCCTCCTGACTTCATTTAGGACCTCCTCTACCAAAATTTTATGTAATTCCTTTGAAATCAATAAAATATTGAACTTTCATCAAAAAAAAAAAAAAAAAAAAAAAAAACAGAGCAAGGAAATCTTGAATTATTTATATCTTTTGGACCATTGTTTATTAATTAAGGTTATTTTTGTCATTTTGTTTTTTACGTAACAGAAAATTTCATAGAAGGACCAAGATGATTGATAATAGACAAACTCAGAGACTATTTATATCAATTTCAATCTCAGAGACTAAAGTGAAGAGTTATGCCAATGTTAGAGACCATTTTTGCTAAAAACCCTTAACTGGAAAAGAAAAATATGGTGGCGAGGAAAAGGCTGAAATGCCTATGTGAGTCTTCTCGAACATCGAATGGATGAATTGTCATGGCAAAACCACCGGTTAATACCTTTTAGAGGGGAAAAAAACACAACCATCTTGTAAAAATTACTGTCACAGAACAGCCATACCAATCAAAATAAATTCTTAAGTTAACCCACCACAGGCTTACAAAAGTGCTTAACAAACCACAATTATAGGATCTAAAAAATCTCCTAATCTGTTATAGAATCCCCAATAATTCAACAAATCATTCTTAACCCTAAAGAAGAATCTCTTAAACCGTCACATATATTAAAAAGGTGATTTTTTTTTTTTTTTTAATCTTATCAAATGATAGATTTTATTAGATTAGGTGTTAGACTAGCTACCGATATAATTAAAACCCACACCATCAATGAAGACTCAACAACTTTCTACCATTGTGATAAAGAGTCTCTTGCCACATATATCAAAATGGTAAACCCAATCAAATTAAGCAACTGACCCGAATCTTAAAACCCAAATTAGAATTAGATGTCTTATTTTAGACTTTTGTAGACTAAACATTTATGCTTTTTAAGTTTTTGATTAAGCTTTTGAAGCATTTGATTAAGATACTCAGAGTTGAACTACTTTAGATTAATTGAAATTAATTTACATTTAAATATATGCTATATATTTTAAATGAATTCAACTATATTTAACTCTAAAAATTTAAACTTTTCAAATCTAAATGTACACCCGTACCAAATGGAAACATACCAACATTAAATGAAAACATTCCAACGTCAAACGAAAACGTATTAACCCCGAATTAAAATGTACCCAATTATAAACTATATTAAAATGAATATTCATCTTTTTGGAATGTTTAAAAATATGTTTAATTCATACACAATGCTCTAGGTAGTCTTGTTTTTTGGTAGATAAGTCTCTGGAACAACTTTTAGTTGATCGGAGATAAATCCTTATTATTGTAGATAATGCTAAGTAATAAGGATAAATCATATAATTTTGAATTAACAAAAAGGCTATTGTCTGTTGATTAATGACTCTTTCTATAAAAGGAATAATTAATTAAAGTAATTTCTTATTATTAGGACAAAAAGTAATAAAACTTATGTTTTGAAAACAAATGTACCAAAATTCAAATGCACTAAGTAATTAAATATACCATTATAATCGAACGTACTAATATAACCAAACGTACCTAACAACGAGTTTTGTTACATTCTATTTAATTTATTAAAATAAAAATTTTAATAAAAAATAAAAAAATCTTAAATCATCATAATAAGAGATGCATAAAAATAGGAAGAAAAAGGGAATGCTAACATGAATAGACATCTAATAAAATAAAAATTAAAGTACCAAAATTGTAGGGATTTAATCAAATTTGCAAAAGGAATATATGTTTATTCTATGACATTTAAAAACGAGACGTCTATATTAAAACATCCCATCTTACAACTAACCAAGCACGCCCCAAGAATTTCTCTATCTAGCTGATGTTTTCGCTCTCAATCCAATCACACATACATCAAGTTGTAGCTCTGCTCTTTTAACGGCATTTTGCCAATCCAATGTCAGATAGAATAGCTTTTTTCTTCTTTTTTTTTTTCCAGATTCTTATTAGTTTGAGGAACTACCAAATGTTTTTGTAATCTGCTACTAAGTGTCGTGTCTTGTTAAAAAAAAATCTCCTGCCGTTAAACCAACTCCAATGGTGGGCTAAATGCCAAATTTTCCTCCCAAATCCCCCCCACCCAAACATTCTCCAACCCAAGCTAAAACATTGCGCTAAAAGCCAAATGCTAAAGCTGGACCAAATACCCCCCCCCCAAAAAAAATTCCCCCCTGTGCGAGTGGATTCGCTGGTAATTGGGCCAGTCTCGGCCCGTCCACGCTCCAACACGCCCCACGTGTGCGCCTGCTAGGGTTTCTAGATAGGGTGGGCCCCTCTGTCAGGCCGTGTGTCAGCCACCCACTTGGACTCCCAACGGCTATAATTACATCCAAGGGTTGTGATTTAAGGACCGTTGGTTGATCCAACAGTCCAGATTTAAATTTCATTCTTTTTATAATATGTTATTTTAAAATACATTGAATTCAACAGCTAAGATCGAATATAATTAAATCTAACGGTAAAAAAAAGATCTAACGCCCCAAATTTAAATCCAACTGTTAAAATAATTAAAAAAAAATTATTTAACACAAAATTCACCCAAAAACTGTATAAATACCTATGTATTTGTTCAAACATCCACACAAAACTCAATTTTCTCCTACAATTCTTCCAATTTATCTTTCTACCATTTCTAAATTGTTCAACATGGTAAGAGAGCATATTAAAGGTCGTAATTGGACCTGTGAGGAAGTTGTTGTTTTATGCTTGGCATGGGTTTCTGTTAGCGAAGATGGTGCAGTTGGCACAAATCAAAATAAAAAGGTTTTGTGGAATAAAATCATTGCAAAGTTTCAAGAAAACTACAACGGCGGCAGGCAGGGACAGTGGTGGTGTTTATGATCAGTGGAAGACTATCAACAAAGCATGCACTTTATGGAAGGGAAGCTTGAAGAGAGTCATGGTTGGCATGCCTAGTGAAAGGAGCACCATAGAAATTGTGAGTTTTGTTCTTGATATTTTATTTGTCATGTATATAATATTAGTTTGCAACTAATTATTTTTATGTGTTTTTTGCATAGGGTGACAAAGCAATGAAAATTTACAAGACAAGAGTAACACCAAAAAATCAAGTTTTTAAGTTGCAACATGCTTGAGACATCCTCAAGGATTGTCCGAGGTAGGGAACCGATGTAGACCAACAATGGGGAAGATTATTTCAACATGAAGTCGCACAGACAAATGCCGGAGATGAAGGTGTTAATGAAATGACCTCATCTCCTTCTTTTGCAAGGCCATCGGGAAGAGATAAGCAAAAGGAAGCAAAAAGAAAAGGAAGTCCCAAGATCCGATGAGTGGACACTTTGCTATTGAAATTGCAAAATTGAATGAAACCCATAGCGCTCGCTAAGAAGAAACGACCCGAATGCGTTTGCAAATGAAGGAAATCTCAGATAGGGAGCAAGAGAGGTTTGAAGTTAATTTGGTGATGGAGGACCTCAACAAATACACTACAGAGAGGAAGAAGTTCTTACGTGGTAAGCAAAAAGAAATTTTGCGAAAGTCTGCCTTAATGAGTATGTTTTAAGATGATGAATCCTCTGAAACTTGTATCCCAATTCAATTACGAAGTTCATCACCTAGTGAAGATGATGGATATGATTATTAAGTTTATGTAGTGTATGAATTATGTGTTTTATTAATCAAGTTTATTAATTATCATTGTATTAAATTTATGTAGTTTATTAATTATGTGGTTTATGAATTATCAATTGTATTAAGTTAAAAAAGTTGACTTTCAACCTAACCATTAAAGTTGGTGTTAAAAGAAAAAGAAAGGGGCGTACAAAAGAAAACTCACTTTTGCAATAAAAATGTAAGACACACAACCCAACAACAAACAAACAAACAAGCACTAAAGTCATACCAAAAAGGGCGGGGCCCATATAAAGATGGTAAATGTAAGCATCACGCAATGTAAAAACAAAACAATTGAAGAGGTCATCGATTGATTCGACCAAAATGAAGAAATCATCGATTGAAACGCTTTCCATTTACATTTGTGAGAATTTTCGTCAAAATTAGCATGTTACTTTATAAAGCTTCTTTTAAGATATAAATCACAGTACTGCAACGACATGTTTTTAAGTTTAAAACAAAAAGGTAGAGGAAGATTTTGAACTGGGTTATAAAAAAAAAAGATATGGTATATTTAGAATTAACGGAAGTTTTGGTATAAAATCGGTCACAGTGAAGCTTTAAAATTTATATAACCCACTTACTTAATGAGATAAAACGTAATTGTTTTGTTAATTTTGACAAAAGTTACATATTTTGATTTCATAATAGTTTTAATAGGTCACTAATTTTTTTAATTTTAGTTCAACGTATCAAGTTTGCCTCACACGATAAGAGATTGTAGTGAGTTAGAATAAAATTGTCGCAAACATTACTAGCTGTAAAAAGAATATATTAAATTTATTTATTTTTTCCTATTATTATTAAATTGGCATAATTAGTGGGATATTGTTAAGTTAACGGAACGGGTGAAATTTCGTAATTAGCACATATATAAATCAGCCGATTGAAAAGGTTCACCCACGAAGCTTCCTGGAAGTTGCCATGGCAGTGCCTTCACTCCCACCATTTAACCCCCCATCCCTTCCTCTCTGCTTCCCATCTCTTCCTTTCTCTCTCCTCCTGCTCATCATCATCATCATCATCATCATCATCATCCTTTCTTTCTCTACAACTTCTTCCCCCATCTGGGTTTTCATCTTCAACCATGAAGCTCATCAAAATTAGCCCTAAAAATCTCAGTCCGAAACGCCTCTTCGGGTCCAAGAAGGACCGGTCCTCCGTGTCCCGCTCCGAGCCGCCGTCGTTCGGTTCCGGAACGGATTCTTCCTCCTCCTCTTCCTCGGACTCAATTCACAAGCCCGGGGCCGGAGCCGGCGGTATCACCACGCCCACCAGCGTTTTGCCCGAAAAATCGGGTGACTGGTCCGATTTTTCGGCTGATCTCGACATGGCCCAAGCGTTTAAGCTTATAGACCGGGACAACGACGGAGTGGTGTCGAGGAAAGAACTCGAGGCGCTTCTGTGCCGGCTCGGGAACGACCCGCCGAGTCAAGAGGAGGTGACGTTGATGCTGAGCGAGGTGGACCGAGACGGCAACGGTTCGATAACCCTTGAGGCTTTATTGAACCAGGTCGGACCGGTTTCCGGTCCAGCTGCCGACTCGGAGCTTCGGGATGCGTTTGAAGTGTTTGACACGGATAACGACGGCAAAATATCGGCGGAGGAACTTTTGAGGGTTTTCACGGCTATAGGGGACGAACGGTGCACGTTAGAGGAGTGCCGGCGTATGATAGACGGGGTAGATAAGGACGGGGATGGGTTCGTGTGCTTTGAGGAGTTTGTTCATATGATGGAGCTGCAGAGATGAAATGGATGTATGGTATTTAAGAGTCTTAAAAATATTGAAATGATCAGAGGATCTGACGGCTTGGATTTAATCAGTCTCAAACTACATTTGTCCTACTTTTATTTTCTTTCTTCGATTTTTTTTTTTTTTTTTTTTTTTTTGCTGCTCAATGTTCTTCCTCTTTTTTTAATCTCCTATTTCAAGTAAAAAGCAAAGAACACCTAATGATATTATTATGATGGTTTTTTTTTTTAAATGGACAATTGGTGGTAAGTTACGGTTATGCGCTTTATCTGAAGGTTGGAAAGACTTGTAGAGGCAATTTAGCTTTCCTTTATCGGAGATCGGAAAGATTTACAGAGGCATTTAAGCTTTTCTCATATCACAAGTTTGGTTTTCATACTAGCAGCGGTTTCGAATTCGAGACCTCTAATATTTAGTTATGTTAGAAAAATTGTGCTAGTTAGTCGTTAAAGACAGTAAAATTGATGGAGCGAATTTGCAATAGGGTACATAAAAATGATTCAATAACTATTGAGTTAAATAGTTAATTGTTTAATTTGTAAAATCGGTGGAGTCAACTTGCACTATATTACATAAGAATGATTGTGCACAATTTGCATTAGGGTACATAAGAATGATTGCGCACAACATTATGATAAAGTGCCATATGAATTTACATTAAGGGTTACGAAAAAATAATTGTGCACAAAATTTAAAAGGGATGTACTATTCACACATATTTTTTTATTTCTTACACATCCTTTATTAATTTATGTTCGTTAATCTTTTTCAATTCATTCGATCCGTCGGTCGAAAATCAAAATGGTAAGGGAGAAGTAAAAAGGAGTTTGTGGATATCACACCCTAATTTAAAATCTCTTCAAATAAAAAATCAAGGAATTAGGTTCGGAATTATTTTATGCAATCAAATTTTCCATATGAATTATTTGGGAATGTCAAGCCAAATGGATTTGTAATTACGAAATTATTTGGTGATGTCTTTTCCTTTTTTTTTTTCTCATTAAGGAACCTATTTGGCGTAGGGAGAGATTTTTCAAGTACTTGGTATTCAAAAGGTACTACATCTGTCATAATAGTACCTGCTTAAGTATAAATCAAAGAACAAAAAAATTTTATCCCACCGAGTGGCGTCGGTTATATGAATCTTAAAACGCTACTGGACTCGGTTTTGTGTCATGTCTTCCATTAGATTCAAGTAGTCCAAGTCTTTTTTTAAAGTCTCTTTCCAAGTTAGGAGGAAGACGCAGGTCTGACTATCTCTTCACTCTGTCTCTCTCTCTCTCGATCTTCAATCTTCATCGATTCACTGTCATTTTGTCTCTGATTTCAATTTGGAGTTTTAATGCAGGTTCGGATGATTTCCATTTCAATATAGATTATTTGGATTTTGATGTAGGTTCGGTTTTGGAAATTCCTAAACACCCAAAACATTTATGGATTCCCAAAATTTGGTAATACCAAAATTTCGGTTCGGAATCAATCGTCGAATTCCTGTTTTGAAACTGTTCGCTTCGGATTCAGTATCCTACATCGAACTAGCCCTAATTAGGTTTGATATAAAAGTTTGAGAATAATTGAAAGTGTTTTTTATAACCAATGTACCTTGGATTTGAAACTCCTCATTTCTGGTATGCATCTTGGCTTCTAACCTTTCATTTTTGGCCTTTTAACTACATTAAAAATAAAATTAAAAATTAAAAATTAAATTAATTCAACGGACCATTTTAAACACTTTTTAAGCATTCAGAAACGTTTTCCTGAAGGGAAATCCAACCATTGGCCCAACCTATTTTCTCACTTGCACACTAGTTTTCTCACTTTCCCATTTAATTAAAAGGACGCATGATTATGTGACCATCACACATTTGTAACTAAATCATAGTTTGACACGGTCAGCCTATAACATTGTTTTAAAAATCCCAGCTTAGACGCTAGACGGCTGGCTAGTTCACTGTCCCGATTAATCTTTAGACTTTTGAAAATTAAGAAATGACGCCTATAACTGCTTAAGCGTCCTGCCTAGATTGCCTAGGGGCCTGTCTAGACCACCTAGGCACCCACCTAACCCTCCTAAACCCTCATAGGTTGCGACCCTCAAATTAGACAGAAAATAGATAACTTTCTTTTTTGTATTATGTTCTAATACTTCATAATCTATGTCATTGTATTTTACAATTTATGTATCCAAGTGCAATTATATATATATATATATATATAAGTATAAGCAAGCGTTTATTTTTACAATATAGAATAAATACTTAAATCCGCCTCAGCTCCACCTAGTCCGCCTAGGCACTAGGCCCCATCCCACCACCCGACTAACTAACGCATGACGTCTTTTAGAACATTGGCCAATAATGGACTAGAGAGTTGGCTAATGTCTAGATATGGAAAATGACTTACATGAAATATATTTACCATCATTGTAATGTCTCAGTTCAATAATGTCATGTCATTTATAAATTTTTCTCCACATAATATCATATTATTGAATTAGAACATCGCTTGACCATAAACTCGTTTCATATAAATTGCTCTTTGAACATGTGTTGATATCAGAAAAATGTTAACCATTTTCTTAGTAAAAATAAGAATTTTTTATCGTTGTTCAAACTTGGCATGGAATACTTGTCTTATGTTACTTTTAAATTGTAACTTCATTTTCATTAAAAAAGAAAGGAAAAATGGTGGAAAGTTGTGACTACTTCGGTTGTCCAAAAGAGAACGGATTAAATAAGCGAAATAAAGAAAGAGTGTGCTGTTCACATATTTATTTTTACTTCTCATACATTTCTTGTTACTTTTTATCCTTTGATCTTTTTCAGTTCAATTGATCTAATGGTCAAAAATCAAGAAGGATGTGTGAGAAGTAAAAGAAAACGTGTGGATAGCATCCTAAAAAAAACAAAGCAAAACTTTGGAATTTACCTAAGATATTATTTTTCATGGGAAGTTGTTGTCCATTTCCCTTCAATCCCTTCTAAAGTTAAAGCTAATCTTGAGATAACGAAAATTCCTTGATGCTCCTATGTATCTTATTTACAGATATTTGTTCGATTTTAACTATTCGATACTCGACGAATAATTTAAAAGTTAAAGTTTTGTTATATAAAATAGGGTTAACCATCTTTTACACATTTCAGGTTTGAGATAATTTTAAAATTGGTCATGAGATTCTAATTTTAAATTGCACAATGAGAGGTTTTGAAATTGCTTTTATTTACACATTTTATCTCTTTGAACCTGTAATCCTCTATTGAATTGATGAACTATTTAATCAATATGGTAAAACATGACTTGCACGTTAGCTTGTATTTGCATCATACAATCAATCTGACCGTAGACACAACAATTATAGACCATTTCAATACCTTAGAGCGTAACATGAAAAAATTAAAAGTATGACCCCAATATAAAACCCACTCCAAACCTCAAAAGTGTAAAAAGTAATGAACGCTATAAAATACTCCGAAACATACTAAAAATCAGTAATTAATATGAAAATCAACAACTCAGTCTCATTTGATTAGTATGATGAAGACTGACCAAACAAACAGTTGTTTTACCATATATTTGGTTTACTTCAACTTGGATAGTTTCCTTATGCAAGATTCTTGCTTAATTAATAAATATATATACTCTAAACATCCCTCCCTACTTACAAGTTAAAAGCTTGTGGTGGCACCAACTATTTCATTTGACCGATTAATTTATAAGAATAAACATAAAAGAATGAATGTCCCCAATAGTTTACACTTTCTGCAATTTTTTAAGGGATATGCTTCTGACAACATAAATTGCTTAATATTTACTTTACGAATTCCACTCAATTATTATGTAAATGCATATTTAAGTTTTGCATCCTTGTATATCTTCTATTATTTTAGATTGAGAGGATCAAATAATACTTTTGTAACATGTTCTCAGTTAGTTTGTAAGCCTAATTGGATTATTAGTTCTCGCGTTGATATGGTAGTGTGGAGATAGTTATGGGGCTAAAAAATATTAGAATTTAAGCCCGTATGGTGAAGTTTATTAGGATTTAAGCCTAAAATTGTAAATTTCATTAATTTTCCTTTTAATTGCTAGCACATGAGGCTCACATGTGATTTTAAAAATATAAAGTTAGCCTCACATGCTAACAACTAACAAAAAGTTCCGTTTTAAGCTCATATGTGTGACACATGTGTTAATAATTAACATAAAGTTTATGAAATTTTTAATTTTGAGCTTAAATCCTAATAAACTTCACCACTAGGGCTTAAATCCTAATTTTTTTTACCACATGTGCTATCTTTCGACTACCCTATCACCACTAGGTCTATTAATCCAATTAAGCCTTGTTTGTATAACATTCAATTTTTTTTTTTGAACAAACGATATTATCTACACTAAGGGGAGGGGGTGGCCTTAGCCTCACAATGGGCTAGCAATAATGTGGTTCAAACACACATTTGGCGAGAATCGAGCCTAAGACATGTCACTTACAAGTGAAAACGAATACTACTAAACCGTAGTTTTAAGTGGCATAACATTCAAAGTTGTGTTTTCATCGTAAATGATTATGAAAATTAAATTGAAATTAAAAGTATAGAAATGTAGTAACAAATACATTTTCGTTTTGACAATCTCCACGGTATAAGAGAGTTATGATGACCATATAAACGGTGATGGCATTGGGACGACTTACTGCCTGACTCGTTAATCAGCATGATACCATATAAAGCATGTTAAGTTTAATAAGAAAAAGAAAAGTAAACATTAGACACCTTCTAGATTATTATTTTTAATACTCCCAATTCTTTGTTTTTTGGTCTATATTCGATTCCCATTTTCATATTTGTCTGAGTCCAACGCATGTAAAATTAAATAAATAAATTTATTAGTTTTTTTGTTACAAACGATATTATTTATCTAAAGAGGAGGATGTGAGTATAAATTCACAATGGGCTAGTAATAATGTAGTTTAAATTCGTATTTGTCAAGAAATCAAACTTAATATCTCTCACTTACAAATAAAAAGAAATACTATTGTATTATAGTTCTAAACTGCTGATATATTAGTTG